AGACAATTTGTTTCCCTTTCGTGGAGGAGTGGAGACACCTCTCCATGGAGCGCGGCTCCCTGGCTCTGAACACAAATGTATTGGCACTAACAAGCAGCTCTGGGGACACCCAGAAATGGATGTACTGAGGCATGGAGTGGGTGGGAAGGCTGGAGGCAAGTGTGAGTCCTGGTTTGCACAAGGAAACTCTGTGCCTTGCAAGCACAGGCTGCACCAGGGGAGACAGAGTGGCTTTTTCGGTGGGGACCTGAAAAGCTAAGAATTTTGTGCAGATGCATGGCCAACCCAGAGCTCAAAAGGGCAGTGTGTATGGTAGTGGCTGCTTTGAGTTGTTTTAAAAAGAGCATGAATAAGCACACCACTAGCTTAAAATCAAGGTTTTGGTTTTTGTTTGTTTGTTTTGGTTTTTTTATTACTGACACTAGAAGTGTACGTAATAACAGACTTTTCCTGTTGCAGGGATGTGATTAGAGATGTGATTAGTCCACTTCTAACAGGACTTTTTAGTTTCATTTTTTTGCCTCAGCTGCTGTAGTGTCCCTACAGCCCAGTAGTCCGCCTGCCCTCTGCCTGCAATGCAGTTCATAATTCTGCATGCATGAGGATTACTGTTCTCTAAACTCTTTATAGAAATTCTTATTCAATTTAATAATTCATACCCTCATTAATCTAGCCTATAACATCATATTCTATAGGTATTAAATTAATTTACGTGGAACACATTTCTTTGGAGACTGCTACTGTACAATATCTCATACAACAGACAGGTATTACAGACAGGTGCTGCATTTCACATAATGAAAAAATGTCAGTGAAATCTCTGCAAATCCCATTGCAAATCTGAGGTTTGAAAAATCTTGCCCACAATAACTTCAGCTTTAAAAAGTCACTTTAAATTCTGCTTTCATTTCTTTTTCCCCTCAGTGATCATCTTTCTGCCCACCTGCTGATGCATTTTCTTGGTCAGCTCTGCTCAGAGAGGTCTCTCCCTACAGTTTTTTCTCACCCAAGGTGCTTTGAGTGCCCCCAGCACTTGTAGCAAGGAGCAGAAGCTGCAAGGAACAGACACATTGTTACATATTTAGGTCTATCTTCTGTGATTATGTGAGACTTTCTGTTTCTCGTGTGAAGCTTGCTTTGCTTGAAAGTGATTTTTCAGATGTTTCTAGTGGCATTCACATCTTTGTCCCACCCAGGGCGTAGCCTCACCTCTGTATTGTGTCTGTTGGTTGGGTTACATTGCTCACTCTCTTTCCAGTCATTTCCATCTCTTCCCTCTGTAAGAGCAGTAGCTGAATCTTTATTTGACCTGTGCTTGTGTTGTGATGGCTCTGTTCTGTTCTTGAAAGGCATCACAGCCTAGGAATCCAAATGGATTTGGGTGACATTTGAGCAGTTTAACTACAAGCTATCTTATGGGGATTTGTCAGCTGGTGCTTTGCTAAGGCTTTTCCAGCTGAAGTCCAAAGGAAGTGCCTGATTTACTGACAATGAAGTCCATTGCACCAACCTTCATCTTTCTGGGAGGGTGTCTTGGAGTGAAAGTGAGAGTGTAAGAGGAGTAGCTGTTCGTGTCAGTCTCCCCTCTGTTGTTAGGGGTGGAGGGACCATGTTCTGCCTCCATGATGCTGACACTCTCTGTTTTAACTGGCTCTGTGTTCAGCACTGCCTGCTTTTATGTAGCTGACAAAGTATATGACAGGTTAAAGATTATTCTAATATGCTCTGCTACTGTTCTGGAATAAGCTGAGGAGGGAGCATTTGCCATATGTGCTGTGTTGTTCTAGCTAGTGTATCCAAACTTATTTATCTGTCGCCTTCACACCTCCTGTTTTCCTGTGATTCAGAACTGATTTACTGTTAACTGTTTGCAGAGATTTGAACAAGAGAGGCTAGTAAGACAGACAGGAAAAAGGTTTAATTGCTGATTTCTCACGTGCTCCTGGGGCTGGATCTGTAGAAGTCCCATCTGAGTGATTAAGGAGAGAAGCAAATGGCCCATGTAAGCAGACTTGTTTCCCAGCTGTCTCAACAATTGCCCTTGACAACCTTGGGTGTCCCAGACTTCAGCCTTTCCCGTCCCCTTTTTATTTCTGCAGTATAGACTGGAGAGATGAATAATGTTTGAGCTCTAGCATTAGTGACTCAAAAGGCTTATATGCAGGGAATTGTCTGTTGTATTGCCCTTGTTTGTATTCCTTTGTGTAGTTTTTTTACTGTTATAGGAAGCATTTTACCCTGTAGGTGTTATGATCCCACATCTTCCCCCGTAAGATCTCATGAAAAATGTACATAAATAGACTTTGCTTTAGTGGTCAGGCATTGCCTCCTTAGAATCCTGGAACAGCTGGCTGCTCCTTATCTCTGTACTGGCAGGATGGGGAATTGTGTGTGCAGCCTGTGCAGGGAAGAGTGCTTATTGGTTTTGCAATGAGTCACAAAGACTAATTTAAAGAATTCACTCTGAGTAATGTGATAATTGTGATGGTGGGGTATGGAGCAGGGAAATAGCTGAGCGACACGTTAAATCACATGGAGAAAAGCAGATCTTGGCTGGAGATAACCATGTTGGCTTTCACCCATTTTGATTAAATGAAAGCTGTGTTGACCTGTCTCACTTGTCCAACACCTAGATTCATAGTTGGTGAATCAGCACAGTAGATTTGGAATTGATGAGGTAATTCACAGTTACATCTGAAGACTTCCAAAAGGGGAGGGAATGAGGGTAATGCAGATGAATGACATGCTAAACACCTTCTTTAAAAACACTGTCATTGAATAGTAGAAATGTAGAAATGGCATCAAGCATCCTTCCCTTTCAAAGAAGGCTGAGGAAATAGGTACAGTAGGAACTATGGAAAACAGCTCTTCCACCAAGTCTTGTGTCTGATACTCATGCTTTTTCTCCTGCAAGCTCTGCTATTTGATTTATGAGGTTTTTTGCAGGCAGTCTCTGAAGTGTGTGAAGAGTTGGGGCAGCTGTGGCCTAGAGCAATAATTTCTCTCTTTCTCTGCATGACTGCTTGCCTGTCTGTTAGGGATTTAGTGTAAGAATGTATTTCTCTAAAGTCAGAATTCAGCAGCAAGCAGTTGGTCTGGCTGGAGATGTGAGTTGGTGAGCTTATGGAAAGCAGAACTAACGGACAGGAAGACTGAACTTCTGTAACCCTTTTTCTTCTATGCTGGTAAATCTGCTGCTTCAGTGGTGTTTTTTTTCCTCACCTGCTCATTGTGGGTCAACAATTCTGGATCGAAAAATTCTAATGCTGGGCCTGAATTTGAGGTTTCTAATTCAGTTTTTTACCTTTATGCTGCTACTGGGATGCCTTTTTGTCTTAATGAAGTTGCATGAATACTGTGTATCTTGACTGCCCAATGACAAGAATGATACCTGTGTAAACTTGTTAAGAATCTGTAAAGGAAATGCAGAATTACTGTCTGTAGCATCTTTGACTTTATTACTTCAGTCTAAGTTTCCTGCTTCAACCATAATCAGGTACAGATACACAAAGAGTAAGAGAACTACTCCTTGCAACTGAGTATAACAAGTTCGATCCCTTCCCTGGGTTCAATGCATGCTTGCAGGGACCATGATAATTTGCAAACCACTTTTCACTGGAAGCAGCAAAATTGCAACGTGCTTGGGTACATATTCTCTCTCTAAATGCCCTCCAGTTATGCCTCCAGCAACTGCAAGGGGATGGTACCCAGATGTGGCATAGGCGTGCACACGCAGAGCAGAGCGGAGTGTAAAAATTGATGAGATACTGGAGAAGGCTGGTGCTACAGAAGATCTTTCACGTTTCCTGGTGAAATGTTCCTACACAGGCCTTCTGTGTCCTTTGCAACCAAACCACTGGTTTCTGCAGAACAGCAGCTCCTAGGGAAGAGTAGAGCGTGCAGAAGCAGTGTGTATGCATGCAGCCTGGGAGAAAAGCACATACAGGAATTAAAATAGTTTATGAAGGTATTTGTCACCAGTACATGGCACATCTCAAAGTGTATTATAATGAGAGGCCTAAAGTTTCTTGGGATTTTTATTTTAAACTAGCTTGTTTTGAGTAGATTTAATGCAAAATTAAGTAGAGGCAGAAAATAAGTTAAGTGCTTTGCTACTGAGGATATTTTAGAAATTCTTTGGTGCATCCTAACTCAGAGAAATTGACCTCTTCTTGGCAATGGTTAACAAGAAACCCTGGCTACTTTTTTTTTTAATACATGTGGGGAAAGTAGTTTGAAGCTATATACATTTTAGTCAGTCTTTGGTGAAAAAACCAAAAAGTTACTTTATTTGTGGCTAATCTTTGAATTTCTTGGTCTTGTCTTCACGTCTGTTTGGTTTTTTTGTTGTGCTTTTTTTGGTGCAGCTTTCAAAATTTAAGCATCTCAAGGAAGAAATGCATGGTCAAATTCTGTCCTCAGTTACATGGGGGGAAAAGGTCGGAAAAATATAATATTAATATTTGTTAATATAAAGCTGGAAGTTTATTGAAGTAACCCACCAGCAAGCCAACAGAACTCTGTTCTGTTCTGTCATTTGTAAATTGACTTGTCTATTTATGAGGCTATGAAAGTAAAATAGAGCAGGTTATTTTCAATTGTTTTTAATTCAGAGGGAGGATCCAGCAGCCACCTACATGGTGACCAAAGCCATGCTTGTCTATTGGTGAAAAGGTCAAAACAAAAGTGTGCTGTAAAGCCTAAAAATGAGCCTCAAATAATAAATAAATTCTGGCTCCACAAAATTATCCCTTCATCCAAATGTTCAGCTGCACTAACACCTCCAAGCAGATCCTTAAACCCAAGAGCAGATGTTTTAATGCTCTTAGGTTTGCTTTGTCAATGTGACACGTCAACAGCGAGTTGCAGCCCTGCATTTACATTGCAAGCGCCAGGCTGCTGGGGCTGGTGATTTGCTCTTTGACCTCATTCCTCCTTTGAACCTGCTGCCGTCGTGCCTGCCTGCAGCCGCGCCGAGCCACCGCGTCCCTCAGCCTCTTTGTCTTGTCATCCGCAGACAAGAAAAAAGCAGGCAAATTCCAGCCTTTCAAGAAGCTCTTCAGTAAGAGGAAGAAAAGAGAGCCTGCCTCAGACTGCGAGGAAGCCAAACTGAAGCCCAGTCACTCCTTCGGCAACGTCTGCAACAGCACCTCCTCCTCCGATGAAGAGCCCAATAGTGGTCTGAGGTAAGCTCACATGCATCTGCTGCCAGCTACAGATGCTGCAGGTACTTCATGGCATACTTTCCCTGCAAGGTGGTATCTCTGGGTCAGGATAGACATGTGCTTTCTGAATCTATCCTGTACAGGTTTTGCATCGTAATTGGGGTAAACAAACAGGCTGTCTTCACCCTCATCTAATTTGAATGTAGAGTAGAAGAAGAACGAGAGGGGAGAGAGGAACCAAGAAATTGGATCATATTCCAGTGATGAGAGAATGACAGAAGGATAGGGTGAGAATTTGCTGTAGAAGTTACAGGAGAAAAAACCTGTACAAGTTAACTAGTCAGCAATTTCTACCTAGGAACAGAACAGGAAAAAATCAAAACAACCCCAAAAAACCCACCACCCCAACAACATAAAAACAGGAGCAGACACACAAACTAATTTGGTCAGTAAAACTTATTTCACTTTCTAGCTGAAAGTCTCAGTTAGTTGACCCCTAAAATTCTGCTTCTTTGGAAGAAAAGGAACTGTGTGCACTGGGGACTTTGTCTATCTGAAATTAATAACAAATCTGAAAAGATTTAAAAACCACACCAAATTCCTCTGCTCACAGGAGATATGTGTATCAGAAACATCACCTTGCACAGTATTTTCAATGGTGCAAAGTCATAGCTGTGAAAATGTGTGTGTGTGTGGGGTGTTGGTTTTGTTGTTTTTTTTAGCTTCTGGAAATTTTGTTCCATTCTGTGAAATTCTGTAAGTTCTAGGTTTCCACTTTGGTAGCTGCAATGCAATCTTGTACATCTCTTTTGCCTGTCCCAACTTTTCAGAAAATCAAGACTGGGCATAGCCACACTGTAGATGGAGACACGACTGATAGCTATTGCATTACATTCCCTATGCACATGATGCTGAGCCACTGCTGGAAATTACCAGTATCTTTTGCCCCAAGAGCAAACTAGTGAACATTAGGAAAACAAGAGATATCATCATCTCGCTATTGGGGATTTCTCATTCAGTGTAACGGAAAAGTCAGTGCTGCGTCCAGGAAAAGTCCCTTCCAACCCAAGCAAGTCTATGATTTTTCTTAATTCTATGTACTTGTCTAGTTCCTCAGCGGTGAAGTGAAGGTGTGGCAGATCCTTGTGAGACTGTTAAATGCTTGCACTTTTAATGTATTGATTTTTCTAATTGTGTTAAACTCAAGTCTTTAATGGAATAAGTCAGACTGCACAATTTAAGTCACAGGGAGTTAGCAAATGTGAAGGGTCCCAAGACTCATCTCAAGTGGAACATTTCTTTTTGTACCCATGATTTGTGAGAGATGCTTCTGGTTTAGCTTTCCAAGAACACTCAGTCAGAACTCAATTTTCCCTGTCAGGCTTCATGGTGCAAACATGGGTGGGACTTGATAATAATTTTCAGGTCACAGGTAGTATTTGCCATGTTACAACAAGCAGAGATGTTCAGTGCACTGCATTATATTGCTTTAGGGAGCTCACTTTCTGCTTTCAGCAGCATGCCTTCCATCCTATATATTTTTATGCCTTTAGTACGATTTCAAATGTTTATGAATTTATGAGGTAGGCAATCTAACTGGAATAATATGCAGACAGTTGTTTACAAGTGTTCTAACAGTACATTACAATGCCTTCTATTATTCACATAGAAAAGAACCAGAGCAAATATGAATTACAAGTAGTATATTTAGTAGTATATTTATATAACAAAAAATAAAACAAGCCATCTGCCTCAAACTCTTTAAGAATGTGCAATAACCATATGTTTTAAAAAGCTTAATCAAACTTCTAGTTCTACATTCCCTCAATAGAGCTATATTTCTTCATCAACCTGCAAAGTGCATTAATTTGTTATCTACAGATGTTTCATGTGAACTTTTGTTTTGGGCAGAGGAGGCTGTTATTTTGAAAAGATATTAAGGAACAAAGCTGATTCAGGAGGTAGAGACAAGAAAATAAATTAATATAGGCTAAATAAGACATCTGTATTGCTTCCAAGACCTAAGCTAGTATTTCACTGTGTGCTGTATTTGTTTACAAGTCTGCTCAGAGCTAATGCCTGAATCTTTAATAGAGACTGTGCCCAACTGCGTGATGCAGACATACCAGGAGTTATTTAGGTAATCTGCATATGGTGTAGATTGACTAGCTGAGTTGGAAGCAGTCTGAGACATCTGTCTGTCCATCCTTTCAGCTGCTTCCTGGATTAATCTAATGCAAATAACTTGCTTGGTGTCCTGATGTATGCACACTTCAACCTGTTTATTCATACATGTTGTTTTGAAAAATCCCAAGTCAGAAGTTTGCCACTGCAGTTCATCTTGCCATGCACTGTGACAAACTGGAATTCCTTTTCCCACTTTTATATTGTGCTTCTTGAGTTTACAAAGTTAAAACTCTATTCATTAACTTTCTGTCCTAACCTTGTGAGCTGGGAGATAGAAGTTTTTATTACAAGACAAGTTAAATTGCATTTGTGAAGCTTCACTAAAGTCTCCAGAAGCTTCTGTTCTGAGGCTATGGTTTGGCACTTTAGAAGATTTTGGTTGTGTCTTTTTCGTCACAGTTGACACTAAGCAAGCTTTGTGAGGACATACCTGGAAGTGCACCTGTGCAGCACCATGCAAAAAGTTTGTCATCCCAGGCTGATGTGGAGAGGCATCAGGGAATTACATCTTTCTTATAGAGGATACATTAGAATGCCTTTACTTGAGTTGAATGCAATATTTCAAAGGACCTGAAAGTAGACCTGTCAAGTCTTTAAGACTCAAGTGTGACAACATTGATCATCTTCCAGGGAAAACTCTCAGCAAACTTCAGTCTCTTGAATGTGCCTGTCTGTGAAATGAGACCCCTTTACTTGTAAATCCCCACCAAGTTCCACATAATCCCTATAAAACATCTTCTCAGGCTACCAACATAAAGTCATGCTCGCTATGAAAAAAACACCTAGATATGTCAGTTCTTGCTATATGCTGAGGAAGATAGCCTGTGAAGAAGAAAAGTGTGAGATGTCCAGTCTAGTAAATAACTTTCCTGGGTATTTGCTGAACCATCCTCAGTATGAATTGTTATTGGGAATGGACCGTGAATCACCTGGCTCTTTACCTAGTAGAGCAGTGCTGAACGGTACAGCAGCTCCTGCTCAGCCAATTAATTCAGCTTCTTTTCTGCTTGTGGAGACCATGTGGATAAGCTGTGTGATTCCTCCAAATGTACTAGTTCTTTGAAAATGCCTCATTTTGGCAAGCAGATTTGGTATTTTCTATTCAAGGTATACCCTTGTTGCACTTGATAACTCAGATAGATTGTATAATTGCACCGTGTCTCTTCCATGATTGTCAAAGCTGAAAGCATTCCTTTGCAAATGTGAAGTTTGGTTTCTGACAAGTTTACCAGCAGAACTCCAAAATCATCTTTCTTTAACAATTGTCCTGACATCTTGCCAGAAAGCTTTAATTCTAGAAATGTAAACTGGGCATACGCAGGGCTGAAGGAAAAAAAGTTAGTACTTTTGTAATATTTGTCCACTGTAGACTCCCAAAGACAAGCTTTGCGTGGATTTAAGGCAAGTATTTTGCACAGTTCTCATCACTAGCTTATGCAGATAAGCAAAACAAACAATAAAATGGTTATGGACCAAAGCTGTGGCAAGGACTACAGTGTGTTCCCAAGATGCGTCAGGAGTTTTATTGCTTCTGATGGAAAGTTCCCAGGGGGGAAGCCCCAGGGTGACAAAGCAGGATGTTGTGCCAAAAATGCAGTACATGTCAGGCCACATGTATGTAGCTGCGTACGGAGCTGCGGGCTGTGTGAGCAGGAGTCTCGTGGTAGTCTCTTGAATTTCTCTGGTCAGTCTACCTGCCAATGCCAAGAGAGTATCTTTGAGTTTGAAAAGACCGGAAGAAGGACTGGGGAGAGGAAAACAATCTGTTTCATTGTCATCTTAAGAAGCCTTAATTAAGTAATTTGCTAAAGGTAATTTTTTGTCAGAGACTAGGTGAGTTGGGCTGTTTCATTGCTGATTTACTCCTGAGTCCAAATGCCACCATCTGAAGGTGGCTTCATACCAGCCAGCAGCTTCTGTAGTGCAAATTTGGCTTCTCCTGCTAAAGAGTGACCAAGGGAAGTGGTGGAAAGAATGTCAGCGATGAGTAGGTGCAGCTTCCATGGCATGGGGCACCTACACAGCATGTGTCTTGGTAGATACTTGGCCACTAGTGTCCTTCCTCAAACTGTTTTATGGAGTACAAATAATATGATCAAGATTTGATCAGTCAGTTAAATTGTGGTATCAGAAATAAATTCCACACAGCTGTTGTTTATCTAAGAGATATTTGACCTCTAAAGTATAAATTTTAATTTTACATTAATTTGAATTCTGTTCCTGAATGGACACAAAGGGCACAAACACACATTTTCAGGGAGAGAAAGGTTAGGAAGCATAGCTATCAACATAGCTAAGCCACAACCTCTTTGATGGATTGAAATCTGAGAAAGAAACCTACAGAAAGTGGAAAAAAAAAAATAAAATTAATTGCTGAGGGATATAAAGTATGAGACATTTTATGAAGTCTTTACTGATAGGGGAAGACTAAGTGAAGAGCTCATTCTGTGTAAGCAAGGAGGGAATGATGGCAACAAGTGACAGCAAGAAAGTCACAATTTCGGTCCCTTTTAAATTTTCATCTTCATACCAAAAAAAAAAAAAAAAAAAACAAAAAAAAAAAAAAAAAAACAAAAAAAAAAAAAAAAAAACAAAAAAAAAAAAAAAAAAACAAAAAAAAAAAAAAAAAAACAAAAAAAAAAAAAAAAAAACAAAAAAAAAAAAAAAAAAACAAAAAAAAAAGCAGCACTAGGTGTACTTTCTGGTTTTAGCCTGCGTGAACTTTGCTACTGTGGATGCAATTTATATGGGGTTTATGCATACACAGAGAGCAGGAACATCACAGATTTCAGAGAATATGTACAATAAATAAAACATGTTCTGGAAGGTGCCGA